TCACAGGAGTCTATTGAACATTGTAGGGCTTAGCTTGCAGCTTCATTGCTGTTTTTCCCTCACTTCCCCTTATCGGTGACAAACGTGGTCACCAGAGCATGTATTCCCATTGAGTCTTAGTCTTGGAAGAGGGTAACATGGATTTCTCAATGCCATAGTGTTGCACATGGTTTTATATACATTATCTTCTCATTTTACTTTAATGAGCATTTAATATTTGTGTGTTTAAATATATCGATTCACCTCCATGAAATGAATTTGAAAGAAATCTACAGTTGACATAACATATATGATTTTTGTTCTATAAATGAGAATTTAAAATGATTGCTAGTTCAGTATAGTTGAAAGCTTACCTTTTAAATATTGAAACAACAGCGTTGATGCTATTGATAAAATTGAAGCAATCTCTTTTATATCACTTCTACACAATTTTAAGTTTTATACCATTATTTACAACATTTTGATCTCAATTTTTTCCGTTACAGATCCTAATAGCCACTATTACCCATCTTTTGCCAAGTACAGAAGCTTCATCTTATGAAATGGACAAGAGGGTAATTTAAATTTTATTTGATGTTAAATATGTGGGTATCTAGTAAAATATAAAAGTATTTGTATTTCAAAAAATTTAAGTTGTATGTATTTACATAGCAGATGTCTATTCATCTTGTTTTTTTAAGACAACTGTAGTATGAAATAGGAGCCCTGGTGGTATAGTGTTTTAAGTACTTGACTGCTAACCAGTAAGTCTGAAGTTCAAACCCATCAGCCCTTCCCCAGAAGAAAGATAAAGCAGTTTGCCCTAATAAAGAATACAGTCTTGGAAACCCAGTGGGACAGTTCTGCCCTGTTTTGTAGGTGCAGTTATGAGTTGGAACTGAATCCACAACAATGGGTTTGTTTGTTGTTGTTGTTTTAAAAGTGTGAAATATATATTTTTTTTTTTTTTGTATAGCTAAGTTATATTTTCAAATTATTCACGACCATTTGACAAGTCTTGAAATATCTGAGTTGACAAAAGTCTTGTTTTGAGGAATTTATCTACTAATAATTTGTATGTCATTGGTAAAATTTATAGATACTTCCAGTAAGGAAGTTGTATATAATGCATGGGAATATATCACTGGGGAGGTCATTCCTTCTGACTGATGAAAAGTTTTACAAGGTGGCATTGTTGTTGTTGTTGTTAAGTGCCGTCGAGTCGGTTCCGACCCATAGCGACCCTGTACAGGGTTTCCGAGGGTGTAAATCCTTACGGGAGTAGAAAGCCTCATCTTTGGTGGTATAGACTTTAGTAAATTTATTGTGAGAGTCGTTTATCTGAGATACTGTATTTTTTTATTACAGAGTATCTATTTGATTTCATTCTACAGTTTCCATATCTTTCCAATAATTCTGCGTCATTTCTTCTACTGTACCCATATTCTTTATAAATTCTTTAGCATGTTTATCCTAAATATTTTCAAGTCCTTATCTATCAAATCTAAATATAGGTCATTTCTGAGTCTCTTTCTAGTAAATATATTTTCTCTTGACTGAGGTCTCCTCCCATTTTCTGTTTCTTCATGTGTCCGTTATTTTTTTTATTTTACGCCAAACATTGTGATTAACATGTATAGAACCTAAGTCTGTGCTACCTAGTGTGGTAGTCATTGGCTACATGTGGCTTTAAAGTTATATAATATTAAAAGTTTATGTTAAATATTTAACTTTTTATACCCACTAGCCATATTTCCAGCACTCAGTAGTCATGTGTGGCTAATGGCTACTATCCTGGGCAGTGCAAATATTGCACAAAGTTCTTTTAGACAGGCATCCATTAGATTTTGCTAATTTCATCTGAAAATTTTTTTCCCTACAATTGTCACTTCCTAATCTTGAGTTCTGCTCTTTACATGTTCAGATCTCTTAAACATACTGTGTTAAAATTGCAAGTATACTTTATTACTTATATTCTCTTATCAAACTCTGAAGCTGTAATTATGTTTCTGTATTTATACCCAATCATTACCTAAATAAGGAGCTCTGGTAGCGTAGTGGTTAGGAATAGGGCTGCTAACCTCAAGGTTGGCATTTCAAAACTACCAGCTGTTCTGCGGGAGAAAGATGAGGGTTTCTGCTCCCGTAAAGATTTGCAGGCCTCGGAAACCCTCTGCAGGGTCACTATGAGTTGGAACCGACTCCACGGTACTTAACAACAACATTACTTAAATACCTTTCACACTTTTGTTGCTTTCATGATATTCCTGTCTTCCAAATCAACAATTTAATGGGTTTACCTCAAAATATTTTGTCTTCCCTTTATTTTGATGTTTGTAAATTTATGGAGGCTTGCTTTGTGACCTAACACATGGTCATTTCTGGAGAATATTCCATGTGCACTGGAGAAGAAAGTATATTGTGCTGTTGTTGAGTTGAGTGCTCTGTGCACATCTATGAGGTCAAGTTGGTTGATCGTGATGTTTAGTTCTATAACTTTGTCGAGTTTCTTACTGGTTGTTCTGTCCCTTTCCGAAAGTGGCATACTGAAACTTCCCACTATATTTGTAGATTTATCTATTTCTTCAATTCTAGTAAGGTTTGTTTCATATATCTTGATGCTTCTTCATTGGGAGCGTAGATATTTATTATGGTATGTTGTCTTGCTCAATTGACCCTTTGATCATGAGATACTGCCCTTTATCTCTTTTGCTGGTTTTTGTCTTAAAGTTTACTTTATCAGAGATTAAAATTGCCACTCCTGCCTGTGTATTGTTGCAGTTACCTTGGTATATTTTTTTCCGTCCTTTAACTTTTAGTCTATTTTTTTCTTTGTGTGTAAGGTGTGTCTCTTGCAGGCAGCATATTGAAGGGTCTTGTTTTCTTATCCAATCTGCCGCTCTTTGTCTATTCATTGGTGCATTCAATCCATTGACATTTAATGTAATTATTGATAGGTATGAATTAATTGCTGCCATTATATTAATTTTTTTGTAGTGATGTTTGTTCCTTTGTTCTGCATGCCTTCTTGTGCTGAGTTTGTGTTTTTTGTGCTATTTCTTGTTAGTTTCTTCTTAGTTTTCATGTTTGGTTGTTCTGCTTGGAAGTTCAATTTCATGGTAAGTTGTGAAGTATTAACTTTCTTTGGGGTTACCTTACAGTCTATTAACTTTTCTCTCCATCAAGAGAATCTATTGTATACTCTAATCTATCTGACATCCTCACCACCTGGATCTCTGTTCCTGTATTTATCCCTTCTTTGACATTGATGTTATTTTGATCTTTGGTTGACCTTCCAGCTCTTTTGTGTTCATTGTAGTTCTGTTCTGTTCTGAACTCTGCTATCTGTTGATTGAGGTCCAGGTGGTGTTGCCACGCCTATCAATCTCTGGTTGTTGCCTGTTCTTATTGGTTTTCAGTCCAAAGAACTCCCTTTAGGATGTTTTGAAGTGCTGGATTGGTTTTGACAAAATCTCTTAGATTCTGTTTATCCTGGAATGTTTTGATTGCACCATTGTATTTGATTGATAGTTTTGCTGGATAGACTATTCTTGGTTGTCAGTTTTTTTTTTTTTTTTAGGATTTAGTATATGTCTCCCCATTGCCTTCTCTTTTTTTCAATGTTTTATTGTGAATTATATGATAGTTTACATGAGAAAACTCTAGTTTTATGTTCATTCCATCGCATATCATTACATTGCCATGGTTTCATTCCCCTCCATGCATCATCTCCCGACCAAAGGGCATATCCTGGAAGCCCGTCCTCTGCACTCCCCCCCCCACCCCCCAGTCCTTGGCTCACAGTTCCTCTCCCTCTCTGGATCCAAAGTCCCCAGCCGCTCCATCCCTCCATGTCATCATCCCTGTCTCCATCTCAGGCATCCCTGCTTCTCTGGGTAGGGTCCCGCTCTCTGCTCTTCTCCATTGGTGGTCCCAGAGACTTCCGCTCCTAGACTGGAAAAATAGTCGCTCCCTTCTTTGCCACAAAATGTCCACGTTTGCATTTCCAACCCTCACAATCCGTCCTGATAACTATTATTCACTATAGTATCGCGCGTAACCCATCTGTATCTCATTTCATCAGCTCCACCTAGACAAATTGGATAGTACTCACTGGTGATTCTGCCTTCCTCCATGCCCCCTAGCTCTAGGTTTCCTCTTGAGAGCTTTAAACCGGTTACTTCTTGCCTTTGTAGTCCCTCCTTCCCCATTTGGGTATCCAATGTCCAAGTTGCCCATCTCTGTCCACTCTGTGTGTGGAGGGGGTGGGAAGTTTCCTGCTGTAAGGATTTGTCGCCTCTTTTGAGTCACTGCATTTGTATGCATAGGTAAGTTCCCATTGCCTTCTTGCTTGCATGGTTTGTGCTGAATAGTCAGAGCTTAATCTGATTTGCTTGCCTTTGTAAGTGACACTTCTCTTTTCCCTGGCCGCTTTTAGGATTCTCTCCTTGTCTTTGATTTTGGAGAGCTTGATTATTATATGTCTTGTTGACTTTCTTTTGGGGTCTATCCTTCCTGGAGTATGTTCAGCTTCTTGAAGGTTTATCTTCTCATCTTTCAAGATGTTAGGGAAATTTTCTTTCAGAAGATCTTCTACTATTTCCTTTGTGGACTTCTCTGATTCTTCCTGTTCCAGAATGATAGTGATTCTTAAGTTGTTCCTCTTCATGTTATCTAGCATGATTCTTACACTCTTCCGATTTTTTTTATCCTTTTTTGGCTTGCTTTTCTATCTTGGCAGTATAGAGAGATTTGTCTTCCAGCTCGCTAGTTCTGGCTTCCATCTCTTCTGTTCTGCTCCTTTTCCCTTTCAGTGTATTGTCCATTTCTGATATTTTATTATTAATCATCTGGACCTCTTTTTTCAGATTTTGAATTTTTTTCAATGCTGTATCAGTCTTGTGTGATTGCTCTTGTAGTACTTTCCTGACTTCTTCCTTGTTTTCCTCCACCCCTTTTTGGAGCATTTGAATTTGTTTCCATATCATTCTTCTGAATTCCTTCTCAGGCAAATCCAAATCCTGCTCTTCCTCTTCTGGGAATCCTTTGTCTGTCTCCAGCACATTTGTCCCAGTTACTCTTTTATGGTTTTGGGCATGTGTTGAGATCTTTTCTTGTTTTTTTGTTTGTCATTTCCAGTGGTTTTTTAATGTTTAAATGGATGTATGATGTTGTGTCATTAAGCTTACTAGGTGTTTCCTGGTGGATGTGATCAGGAGATAGGCTTCCTTTTTTGCATGTAATGCTTAGCAGCTGTTATTGGCTCTTGTCTCAATGGTGTAATATTACGGGATATGCTTGTAGCTTGTCTATATGACCACGATTGCAGAATCTTCTTGGGTAACATAGGGATAAAAAGCTCCCACCTCCAGAATAAATTTGTGATCAAAAGGACCAAGAGCGGAAGCAATATAAAAGCAGAGATAAAAACCACTGCTTTCAAACAAAAATTAAACTGTGGCCAACTGTCAAGTTGCCATGCTACACAGGCAGTACATGTGCACCGTAGAAGCCTTCAGCAGTGGGTGGGGTTGTCCGCTCACTCAGGCCCCATCCTCTAGTCACTACCGTACAA